CTGAAATAAAAGGAGCGCCCAATGATTACCGAATTTGCTAGTGATAATCTTGAGAAACTATTTTGCTTCGCATTATACTATACCAGTTATTATACCGGGCCCATTCCAAAGTTCAAAAAATTTTACTTGTAAAAAGTGCAAGATATAGCTGAGGTGATTCATGTGACTAACATGACAATAAATTATTTAATGTACATTGAAGTCTGTCCATTTTTTTTCTTTTCTGTTTCCTTTTTTAACCCCCCAGGGAGAGGGTCGATCAAGTAAAGTAATTTCTTGGGTAGGAGTAGCATTTAACAAAATATCAAATAAAAATGTTAATGTCTGAAAGCCACCTAGTGATTTAACTGATCATTTGATCTTTGATGGGATCATTGATTACTCACGATGCTGCAGTTTCGGGGATTCAAGAATAAAACTGCTACTTGTAAAATCGTGACTCCCCAGTAATTCACATGATGTGCCACCTTCCCAAAAATTTCTTTTTGAGTTAAAACAATTGAAAAGAATGGCAATATGCAAATATTTTAAAAATTCACAAAGAAGAAAACAATAACAGATATAAAGACTTACATCTACCATATTTGATGAAAGGTCAGACCCAACATGTCAGCAGGGAATATTAAAAAGAATTTTAAGTGTATACTTCAACTTCATATATAAGGCCTGGGGGATATTTAAAAAAAAACAGTTTTGTGTCATCAAATAAAGAGACTGAAGAATTAAATTAATTGATTCTATTATCCGGTATTGCAATAGTTATAGTCAGTGACACTGGAACTTCCAGTTCATAAACAAGTTTTATTCTCTCAGTTTGATCCCAGTTTATTTCTTTTTTTAGATTGTGTACTGTTAATTTTTCAGGGTGGTACCATTGTCTTCCTTAAAAAATTTGGCATTTTAATGTTGACCTTTATCAGGATGGGGACATTGATTTTCTGGCATTGAAAATAAGATACATTTGGAGCTCAGAGAATCATACCCAGATAATGAAAAGTTATTGGCTAGTGTTGGACATTTTCAGGCTGGTAAATAGGCAAAATGAACTCTTTGAAGGAGTACTGTTCTTATTTGTAGTTGATCGCAAAGTAGATGAAAGGACATTTTAAATCAGGTCCATTGCAATGATACCCACACTTCGGGACCTTACATGATATATATTGTTATACAAAAATTAAAAGAATTCAAATTGTATATTTTATATTAAACTGATTCCTTAACAGCAAATTATTCTTAAATATTTGGATAATTTTCAAAGCTGATCATAATAAGTAAGTTTCAATTTGAATATGCTCTCCTTTATATTCCTTCATTCATTTCATTCTTGAGACTAACATTAGAGTGTGTAATTTAAATCTATAGCCTGACACAATCATCAGTAGAATTTTGACCTGAAATATTCTCTCAATAATGTTTGCTTTATGTGATTAATGGAGAAACAGTTGGTTTAAGTTCATTAGTGAAAAAGCTGCTCAAGTTTGTTTTGCAAAACGAATATTTCCTTTTCAATATATTGAAATGGAAATATTCGTTTTGCAAAACAAACTTGAGCAGCTTCTTCCCACAAACAGGATTCTTCCTAATCACTGCAATTTAAACATTTTAGTCTAGTGTCAACTGTTCTCTTCCCCACATATCCCTATAAACTCTGTTTCTTACTCTGTAATTTTCTACCTTGAGTAGCTCTTGGGCCTTCTACAATGTGAACATCATTGTGAGAAAAAAAACAGTCCTTCTGTCTGAATTTTTTGGACGAGGAATTATCATTATTTACGCTATTTACATTTGAACTACTGTCTTCATCTTTGTTGTTATTATCCCCTAATTGCCTTCTGTCTGAATTTCTGGGACAAGGCAGTATCATTATTTACATTTGTCACCAAATACACAAACCAATATTTTAATCCACTAGGTCATTGTTCATGAACTTAATGACATAGTAATTTCAATCCCTGGATTGGGATGTGTGTACTTGGACATGATGAGATATCCCTAAACATGAGCAGTGGAATGAGAACAATCTACCTCCATAAATTAAATAAAGGGTTCAGTTTAAAATTCTGTGTAGGTTACCTGGATTGATATACATTTGATGAAGACCAGAGGGCCCAATGGCTTAAACATTGTGATAACTTTTTCTTTCTTTTTTTTTTTTTCAATCATTAGGCTATGGACTTATTAATGTACTTATATATTAATACTTGTGAGAACTACCCTTCTAAAATTATCTTTTTAGTTTTGTTTTGTTCACTATAGTAGAAATTTTTTGTTTTTTATCCCAGTTTCAACCTTTTTTTATTTGTTTTTTTATCCACTAAATTACTCTGAGATAAAATTTAAAGACCCAATTTCAAATATTGTATATTATGTTTTTTTTTTGTTTTTTTTTTTATTGGAGACTCGTTCAAAACAATCTTTTGAATGACCTTGTACTATATAGACTGATGAGATAAGTAAACACATAGCATAACAGTTACAAGCTGTCTTATAATGTATGCAAAAAACAAGCCTTTTGAAAAGTAGACACAATGAAAGGGATTGAATGGTATCAGTATATACCTTTTTGGGTCGTAGCAAATAGGTTTGTTTGTATGCTATTCATAGTAAGTTTAATTTTTAGTGCCTGCTTAAAAAAAAAGAAAAGATTTGCTGGATGTGTTTATTTGTATTCTCCGTTTAAATTAAAAAAAATCTAAAAGATTGTGAGAACAATGTTTTAGAGTTTCTTCATAGAATCTATACAAACCTAATTTTTGATTTTTTTTTTTTTTTTTTTTTTTTATTGTAAAATATGTCTCCGACATTATTGGTTTACAGCAAACATTTTCATTTTTGACTGATTTGTTTGTTATAGTTTAACCTTTTGCAGGTTATGTAAAGCCAAACAATATTTTTAGATTATATGAATTTTTTTGAGTAATAATGATTTTACTGATGCAACTCTTACTATTTAACCCATAGCTGGGGGAGAAAAGGTGGATTCATACCTTTTCCAAGGTTATTTGCACATAAGTGAATATAATGAAACCCAATTGGAACTTGGCTCTCAGATTTCCAGTTCTGAGTTACACCACCCACACATCCAAATTTACAACACCTGGTATTCTCCAGTGATCATCCATCTAGGTACTGGTATTTCAATGTGATGCTGCCATAAGCCCAGCAAATATTTTGAATATGATTGTGAAAAATTTAACTGTTTTTTTTTTTTTTTTGTTTCATTTTGTTTACTTTAAAAAAAAAAAAGATTTCTAATCTGGTTATTTTATATAAGTTTTGGGATTATGAGTTTACAAATCCTCAAAGGAGGTCATATATTCTTTGTTTCTTGTCCCTTCAGGACGTGGGCAATCATTGTTCTTTATGATCTGCACAAGTTTTTTCACACAAGTTTGTTACATTGGTTACTCACTGTTTGCCTTTGCCTCTCTTATCTTCAATATATTCCATGAGTGTCAAATTCTTTAAGTCCTCTTTAAACTTTGCAAAACAATGTCTCTTTCTGATTCTAAGTACAGGTCTTGGCCATGTATTGGACATTTTTGTCTATGTAGTGTCTTTATAAATTGTTTTGAGAAGAGGAAAAATATAGTAGAAGGAATTAAATAGAAAAACTTATCAAATCTGTGGCAAAATGCTCATTCAGACAATTCTCACTTCAATTTAAAGCAAATTTTGTATTTTTGCTGTGCAAAATATATTTTCATAAGCTACCATTTATATAAAACATAATCTATTCTGTTTAAGAAAAGAACATCCTATTTTTTTTAAATAGTTTTTTTTTTCTACTGGTTGCTGTTATAAGAAGAATTACTCTGAGAGCTGTGGATTATTTTGTCTCGCTTTAGTTGTGTGTCTTTGTTTCCACGTGGGTGTATGTCTTCCTCTTTCTGATTTATCTGTCATATATGATGTATCTGCATAAATACATTTCTATTTCAAATAGTTTGCAGGTACATTTTTTTAATCATTTTATCCCAAACAAGGCAATAAAGCCACTAAGATGCAAGAGGTTACTGAGGGTTAGAGAATGCAAAAAAATGTTTGTGAAATTCATAATCTGGATTGATAGTAATATATGAAAAAAAGTACATTAGATTATGATTTTTTAATATTTAAAAAAAAATTTTTTTTTACATTTTAAGAAGTAACATTGTATAAGCATTTTTCTTTTGACTTCTGTAGGGGTTACCAATTTAGAATTAATTTATATAGCAAACTGGACCCCCTTAAAAAAAAAGAAACCTTATAAATAAAAAGGGTTGTACTCTTTAACTTTCTTCAGAAAACCTAGATTTTGCTGTATATGTCTTTGTCTCAAACAAAAAGATGATTTAAATGATTCAAGGACTTTGGTGAAGTAACAGCTATCATGCTATTATTATTTGCTAAATTTAACTTAGTTTTGGCATAAGTAAGGATCATGCAGTGAGAGCTGGACTCACTGCTTAGTAGTAAGTTAACCAGACTAGCTTTCTAACCATTACCTAATACAAAGGCATCCCTGTCATACTATTGTTTTTGATGACCATGTAAGATATATGGAATAGTTTTTTAGGGTATTCTTTAGATTGTACATAGCAACAAGATCAAAGGTATTTCAGGAAATATTAAACATTCTTTTAAAATTAACATTTTTTTTATTTTTGTTATTTAAAATGACACATTCCTTTAACTATGAAATTTTATAAACAGCATTTTTAAAATCAGGAATTAAAAAAAATATCTGTATGCAAACCACTCCCATTCTTCATAGTACAGCCTAAGATGTTGGACTATTAGCTTAAGGAGTCATATAATGAAGCTTATCATCCAGATTCTGATAAGCAGAGTGAATAGCAGAATTAGACCAGAAATAGAGTAAAAACAGTGTAGTTTTGTTAAAGGCACTGGGACAAGGGAAATGAGATTTTTTTATATTTTTTATTTAATAAATCAGAATGCTATCAGAGCAAAGAATACAAATACAGAAGGATGTATACCTATGTTTCATAGACTATGTTGAAACACCTGTTCCCTTACAATCACTGAAATTTAGTAACATTGAGCCTGATTAGTACCTAGATGGGTATTCACTTGGGAATACCAAGTGCTGCAAACTTGGATATGCAGGCAGTGTAATGGATAATGTCTTGGAACTGTTAATCAGAGATCTGATGTTCCAATTCATTGTTGAGTTTGTTATAATCGCATGTACAAATTTTTTGGGGGGTAAGGTATGATTCCACCTCTTTTCCTCTCAGTTATAGGTTAATTAGTAAGACTTGTATCACTAAAGCATCACCTCCCCACACCAAAATTCTAAAAACCTAAAAATATTTTCAGGTCTTAAATAACCTGTAAAGTGTTGATAAGCCATAAAAAACAATTAATCAATCATTAACAAGGTATGACACAAGGATCTGTTTAAATGGAAGAAAACTTAATTTATTCGTGAAAGGTAAGGATTCAGTACATTTACTAGGAACAAACTGCCTACCTACAGATAAAAAATGAATTGAGAAAGTACACAAAAATAGAAAGAGGTATAAGACAAGGATGCATCGTCTCACCAGATTTATTTAACCTTTACAGTGAGTCGGTCTTTGACAAGTGGAGGTACTGCCATGATTTATGGGCATAATCTCAGTAACATGCAGATGATACCATATTGATGGCAGACAGAATAAAAATTACAGGTACTTCTATACAAAGTAGTAAAGAAAAGCAAGAAGGTGGAATACATGGTCATCAGCAAGAAGAATAGTCCCAGATATGAAACTGGAGGTATCAAAATAAAGTATAGAAATTTAACTATCTGGGAAGTGTTATAACAAATGATAGAAAATGTTACACTGAAAGCTGAAGTTGCATTGAATAGTGAAAGATGCTTTCTAAAAACTTACCAAAATATTAAGAAACAGGAAAATTTTGTGCTCAATTGTTATACAGTATCAATCCTCTTTCACATGGCAATGAGTGCTGGACATTTTGCGCATGGACAATGAGGAGACTTGAGGCAACAAAGACACAAATATTGAAAATACCATGAATGGAACATGTGAGTGCCAAGGAAGTTCTAAGAAAAATAAGAATGAAAAAGACGCATTTGCCTAGGGTCGGAAAAACTGTTGAAATTTCTGTGACACATAATGAAGAAAGGAGACTTGGAGAATCTGACACTCACAGGACATATTGAAAGGTAGAGGGAATCTGAGAGTAACCCATCTAATGAGGATGGTAGAACAGGGACTGGGAGGACTGGCAAAAAGATAAACATTACTAAGAGGTACAAAGGATAGAATGTTTATGTAGGGACATGGCAACTAAAAAAACTCTCCCTTGAATTATGCCATTATCCAAATAGACAAGTGTTGAAGAGTAAAGAATAATTCACATTTTATTATTTTTATCTGTCTATATCTCTGAGATGATTACTTGCCTTATTATGATTAATGCATTATTTACATTTACTGTTATTATGATCATTATTATGAATACTTGCATTATTTACATTTACTGTTATTATGATCATTATTATGAATACTTGCATTATTTACATTTACTGTTATTTTTGTGTTGGTGATACAGAGAAGTACTAGGAAGAGGAAAAAAGTCAAACAACTATGTCCTGACCCCAAAAAGAAGAGATCTTGAGCAAAATTTCATGGGAAAAATAAGCTGGGGGGGGGTTGTAATGAAATGTCCCACACTCCCTATCACCTAATGTAGACTGACTATATCAGTAGATATATAAGGTAAGCACAGGATATACCTGGCAGACTTGTTTCGGGAATTACTAGCTTGCTAACCGATTCTGTCTTTCAGTTGTGTATTCTCTTTTACAATAAACCGCTTTTTTTTTTTTTCCATCTACGCCCGTGTTGCTGTTCCTTTCACTTGAATACCACCTTTGTCTGTTTGTAAGCTTCTTTAAGGATACAACAGTTTTCCTCATCTTCATTGCCATATATGCTCCAGCCTCCTTCAGGTGATTGGAATTTCGAAGAACTGAACCTGGAAGAGGTGTCTGCAAAGTATTGAATTTTTTTTTTTTTTACTTTTTGCCTTTAAAATACCTATTTATACTAAACATTTTCTGCTTTGTACATTTTACATACTACAAAACCTTTCTCTAATAAACAAAATATACATTTACAAATATTGAGAGGGAGAGGTGAGGGAAAGTAAAAAGGTTAACAGTGCCCAAATTGGCCCTCTTATTGGTGGCCATTTTGTCGTGTTCCTGGTGGAAGTAAGTCTGGTGGATCTTGATTGCTTCTGCTTAAAGAATTTCAATTGCAATTATTCTCTTCCTGTTTATCCTTGTTGGTGGCTATGGCAAGGTAAAGGAGAGGAGGAAGAAAACCATTATATACAGTGGCCTGGGGTAGTTATTGGGGTGCTCTCTATCTAGTCTATACCATCCAGTCATTATTACTGACCTTTGTAAAGAATTTAAGACAAAGATAAAACCAGGAGAAGAAAAAAACAAAAAAAATTTTGATTTGTCTGGCTTCAGAATGATTATGAAGGAAATTGGCGGCCACAATCTTAACAACATAAGATATGCAGATGACACAGTGTTGCTAGCAGACCTAGAAAGAAAACTACAAAAATTCCTACAGAAGGTAGTGAAGGAAAGTGAGAAGAAAGGATTAAACATCAACTGCAAGAAAACAGAATGCATGGTTGTTAGCCAAAGGATGAGCCAAAAATGCAAATTACAAATCAGAGATACCATGCCTTTCAAAAGTGAAGCAGAATATTAAGAAACAGAAAAGCTTTGTTAAAAAGAAAAGAGTATTAAACTGATAAGTGATATCTGTTCTCCTATATGGAAGTGACAGCTGGACAATCTCCTTGAAGATGAAGAGACTTGAAGCAACAGAGATGTGGTTCCACAGAAGGATGCTAAGGATACTATGACTGAACATGTGACCAACGGCGAGGTTTTAGAGAAAATGGAAACAAGGAAACTTAACATTAGGAAGAGATAGTTGAAGTTTCTAGGCCATATAATGAGGAAAGAGGCTTTGGAAAATTTGACACTCACAGAACAGATTGAAGGTGAGAAGGACAGAGGAAAACAATGTATAACATACTTATTTAGCTTGGTAAATGGATGGTGAAGCAAGTTTTAGGAGAAATAATAAAGACAAAACAAATTAAGAGCTACAAAGGACAGGAAATTGTGGAGAGCCATGATCACCTACATCCTGGTGGGGATACAGCGCAAAGAAGAAAGAGGTTGAAATTAAGATGTAGCCTTGATCTTACAAAAGGTTGGGTGATGAAGTAAGCCAACATAAACAAAATAACTAAAAATTGAGATTTATAAAATAGTTTAGGTTTGAAAATAATTTAGCTTTCTTTCTTTTTTTTTTTTTTTTTTTTTTTTTTTTCTAGAAGTGATGTTTAAAAATTATCATAGACTGATTAAGCTTTTTTTATGCATTTCCTATATTATAAGAAATAAAATATGAACCTAAATTGATTACAACACTGTCGGAAAATCCAGAATATGCATGAAAAAAATTAAGTTTTTATCACCTCACCCCAAGCAGAGATTTTTTTTATAATTCTTATCTTGAAAAAGACAGGATATTTATATAACTATATATTGTGTAATATGCATCTTATAATATTTATTATTAAAAAAAATAATATCTATTATTAAAAATAATATATAACTTTGAGGTTTGTCAGGTTTTATTATACAATCTGCAATGTAATTTCTTATTTGTAAAGGAATCTAAAAGATATAAACTGTAGAAATATATTTCATGAACACAATATCCTAATAAATTAATTTATTATTTTATATGTGAATATTAACTCCTTAATGTTGTAAACTTTCATCAGTCTTTTGTTCATTGATTTTGTTAACTTTTCTACTTTTTCAACTTTAGCATTAATTGTAGCAGGTTTCATTGCTTTTGAAACATATTACTTGCTTGAATATTGCTTTCCATTTTAATATGCATCTCTTATAATTATGTTTTCTTTTGACTTAATATCTGGAGAGGCTAGGTGCCATTGTATTAATTTGTTTTTTTACTGATTATTTTCTATGGATTATCAACCCATTGCAGGTTATTTAAAGCTAGAAAATAATTTTAGATTGTAAGATTTTTTTTTATTTATAGATAACTAGCAGTAGAGCCCGGCATTGCCCGGGGATGTAACAGTAAGAGATAGATCAAATATCGACCATCATAAAGACTGAAAAATAAAATTGATAAAGATTATTGTTTAAGGTTGATGGACACAGATGTCTTAATTAGTTTTTTGTTTTTTGTTGTTTTTTTTTTACGAATTGGTCAAACTCAAACAAAAACATTGTTTTCAATCGTTATGAGTCTATCGATTGAATAGAATTTTATTATAAACAATTGTCTTGTAAATGGAATTTTTAAAGCATTCTGAATGTAAAAATAAAGAAAAAAGTGTGCAAGACAATAAGAAACACTACCTGCCAAAAAAAAGTGAAGTTTTGTTGAAATCGGTTGAAAAATGTAGGAAATCCGATCCCATATATAAACAGACACAGACACACAAACAACCTGGGTTTTATAATAAGTATAACTCGATATGAGTTGTCCCCCTTTCATTCTGGTGACAGAATCATGTTTTATCGTGTTTTCAAATTGATTTTGTGCAAAAACAATTGTTTTTCCAATTTTTTATGTGTCAGAACCACATCCAAGGTAATTTTAAGCAGTCCTGTGAAGTTTTGTTGAAATCTGTTTGAAAAATGTAGGAAATCCGATCCAATATATAAATGTACAGACACACACACACACACACACACACACACATCTGCATTTTATAATAAGTAATATGATGTTTTATTGATTCAAGTCTTATTAATTAATCCATTGTGATGTGGGAGAAGAGGTAGATTCATAAGTTTTTCAAGGTTATTTGTCTGTAAGTGAATTTAACAAACCCACTGGAATTGGAACTTGGTTCTCCGATTAATAATTCTGAGCCATTATCCATGACATCACTTGCACATCCAAACTTACAGCACTTGGTATTCTCAAGTAGTCAACTGTCTAGTACTGACCATGCTCAATGTTGCTTAACATTGGTGATTATATGGGAATTGGTGTT